TATATATGAATATATAAAAAATATATCAAAATGCGTGTGGGTACTCAAATGAAAGCTCTTGATGAGTGTAACATCAGGATGAGCTTATATCTTTAAAAAAGTCAATATTTAAAAAATTACAGTGCAATTTAATGTCATTAATTCTGAAATTAAGGTAAAAATATTAGTCGTATAAAAAATCATAAGACACTTTTTTTTATAAAATTAAATTTTTAACTTTTTTTAGGAAATTTTTTTTTAGACCCAATACTTTTGGCGTGAGATCTAATTTTCAAACCATTAATTTTTTATTTTGGCAAAAATCTGAAAAAAGTCTATCTAAATAATTTATTGAATAGTTAGATTGCCGATTTCATTTTTGACAGCATTAGCAATGTCAACTTTGTCAGTATCAGTGACTTTGGGGTTGGCAGTGATGCAAGAAGGACTGACACGTGCGCATTCTTTTTTGTGAAGAAACCAGTGAAGCCTCTGGCACTCTCGATCGCAGTACTGGACCGCCTTGCACTTGCTGCACTTCTTGGTGGCCTTTTCTTCTCCACAAGTCATGCAGATGACCTGGTTGTCGGCGAATCCACGCTGACCATTGATAGCCGCGGAAATAACAGAGACTGCGGATGGCGGGTCGGTTCCCGCGAGAGTCGCGACCATCTGCCGGAAAATCATGCTCTCGCGGAACGGAAATTCCCGGACTATTTCCCGAAGCAGAGCCTCTTGGTACTCCGGAAGACCGTCGCTTCTGCTGCACTTTAGCAGCAAGCGAATGAAGAACTCAACTGGGTCTGTCTTTCCTTTCTCTTCATCTGCCGGCTTTTCATTTATTTTCTCAGCCTTCCTGGCCTCCAGTCGCTTCTGACATTTTATTAGCTCGCTCACGATGCAGCTCAGGTAGTGGTATTTAAATGCCATTATTTCATTGGTGTCTGTTCCGCGGGTCATTTCTCGATGTCGCATTGACTCGAGGACTTTTTGAACCTGAAATTATTTTATGTATTAATATTTTTTTTTTCAACTATTTTTAGTCAATTTATTTTGATAAATATTTACATTTTTGTATATATGAAAAATATATCAAAAATGCATGTGAGTACTCAAATGAAAGCTCTTGAAGAGTGTAACATCGGGATGAGCTTATATCTTTGAAAAAGTCAATTTTTAAGAAAGTACAGTGCAATTTAACAAAAGTCATTTAATAAAACAAAATTTCAATTTTTTATAGTTCATAAATCACGGCAGTCACATAGTGACTGCAAGGTTGCTAGTAATTTCATTATTTTAATTTTAAATTATCAAAACTAAAAATAGTTTTGCTTTGAAGTATTAAATACTTGGAATAATGATGCTGAAAATATATATTCTTATCATAACATATAAAGATGTCAAGTCTCTGAAAATCCGGGAGCAAAGTATAAATTTTTCAGATATTAATAAATATAAATGAAATTATTTTAATTATTACATGAGAGTTTAAATTATGATTATAACAAAAATCTGAATTTTTTTATCAAGAAATTGTACACATTTAAAATTTTTAAATGATTAATTTTTTTTAAATTATTTATAATAGATTTTTTAAAAAATTTTTAATTTTCTCCAGCATCTAAAAAATCATTACATAAAAAAAAGGAACATAATTAGTAAATAAATTTTTATATAAATGCGTACAACCCCTAAAATATTTCCTTTTAATTCAGAAAAAAAATTTCAATGCGGGTCCAAAATAATTTCCAAATAATTCTTCCCCTCACAAATAACATGTTACAAATTTATCGACATTTATACAGAGCGAGGGGTCGATTTTCCGGAGGGATCTTTTGATACTTAGAAAACTTCTATAAAAACCTATTAATTACACAAAAGTATTAAAGCAGATTTATTTGCTAAAAAAAAAAATAAAAAATCTTCAAGACTGCTAACTTTAATGTCATAAAAAATTAAAAGAAAAAACTACATGTGAAATTTTTCTAAAGTATTTTTTTTTTTACTTGCAATTAAATTAATAAATTAATTTTTGTAATTACTAAAAGACATTAAAGTTAGCAGTCGCTTGACAATTTTTTTAATTTTTTTTTAATGAATAAATTTGCTCCAAAAAATTATTTCTAATAAATTGGATTTTTTAATTTTTTAATTTTTTAAATGTCAATTTTTTTTTTCTCATTTTCTTTGACATAATTTATTTGTTAAAAAAATTCTTAAAATTATAGAATATCTGCTAAATTAATTTTCATAATTACTAATTAAATTAATAATAAAAAAAAAATACCTTTGGCAAGTGATCTAAGAGTCCAGTACACCGTTGTAAGCTCATAGCAACTCTGACCGGATGAACATTGACCTGCATGATGAACTTGTGGAGCGAATCAGCAAGATGAGGCGGGATCATCGGCTCAGTCTGCAATCCTTGGGGTTTAATATAGTAATCAATATCAGCCTTGGGTATGTAATTGTTGATAGTAGCCACGCAGTTGTGATTCCCAACAAAAGCAGCCATTTGTGCAGGTGTCCTGCCTACGCTGTTGGTGGCTGTCAATTTAGCACCGTGAGACATCAGGAGATGGCACAGTTCAGCATTGCCGCTCAATGCTGCGAAATGCAGGGCCGTGTAGGCGTGCTCGTGTTGACAGGCATTGACATCTGCTCCCTGGAAGGAATTACCAAGTAATCAATACTAACATCACCATTAATTAATTAACTACAAAAATTAATTTAATATTTATAATTGAAATTAATATTAAATTAAATAAATTCAAGGTGAATTTTATTTTTGTTATGATAAACTTAACCTACCTGGTCGAGCAGCATCTGCACAATCTCTTTGTTTCCTTTATAACAGGCATGTTGGAGAGGACTCATCCCATTCTCGTCAACAAAGTCGATCTTTATTTTGTTGGAAGCCAGCAAAGTGCGGAGTTCTGAAGATTCATGGTTACTTATGTGAGTAAATACTTGCTTTTGGAGCTCCGATAGACTTTCTGTTGTCGGTGTCATGTTGACTAATAATGTGCTGCTGCTGCTGCTGCTTGTTGTCCTTTTCAGCTGCTTTCTCAGGTATGACGTCACCGGCGCGGACATGTTTTAAAAAAGCGGGAAAATTTTTAACTATTTTTTAATTAATGATACTAAAGTTAGCCGTTGAAAATTAAGTTTGCCGACATTTAAAAATTTTCAGATTTTTTTTTTTTATTGAAAAAATTATCAAAAAAAAAATTTTTTTTTTAAATGTTAAATAAATGAAAAATAATCAAAAAATTAAAGAACAAAAAAATATTTTAAAAAATTGCACTTACAGTTTTTCAAGTTTTTTACAAGTGACATTTTTTTTTTCTTTTTTTTGTAGTCATCTTTTCAATAAAAAAATTCTTTTTAATTTTTAAATGTCGGCTAACTTAATTTTCATACTGAAGTTATTGGCTGACAGCTGTCAATTTTTATAATAATTAAATCAATAATAATTAAAAAAATGCTCCTAAAAATTTTCACTTGTAATTTTTATTAATTTTAACAAGTGAAATTTTATAATTATTTAATTGTTATTAATAATTTTATTTTATTTATACTTACTAAATTTTATTTTGACTGAAGTTAGCTGCAAAAATAATTTTTTAAAATACTGAAGTCAGCTGACAGCTGTCAAATTTTTTTAATTCCATAAATAATCATTTACAATTACAAAAAGTACTTAAAAAAATTTCCACTCATTATTTTTAATTATAATATTTTAGGTTCTATTTTTTTTTTTAAATAAATTTATTGACTGTATAGATAAAAATGTTTGAAAATTGCTAAGAATCAGAGACACGGTAGTGACTTGGCCAATAAACTTTTCGAAACTACCAAAATGGCGACGAACTTCAACAAACGTCAACTCGTAAGTTAAGTATTAAAAATAAAACAACAATTACACAAGTAATAATTTTATTAAACAAAAAAAATTCCTTACACAATAAAATAATTATTTAAATGTTCGTTCAATATGGCTCTCGAACGATCACTTGTTAAAAGCATCAACAAATATAACATTATATAATTATTCTAACCAATATTTAACACTAACAATCATTATAGTTAGTAAATACTTTAAATCGTCCAACAAAGCCCGAACTGCGACCTATGGCTGCGGTGGCAGTTCGGATGCATTGTATAAAATATATATTACAGTAATAATAACTATTATAATAAATATTCATCATTGTAGTAATTATATTCTACACTTAATAACCTAATCTATCAAACTATGTTAATTTTTGCGTATAGTCCACACAGCATAAGTATGTCCGAGCTTGTCATACAGCTCGTAAATACTTTAACTAATTAATAATTAATAATTAATATTCATTATTAATTATTACAAATAATTTTTAAAACCTTACGCTAATCGATTCATTATTTTCGATAAAATCTATTTCCAAATTTTTAATAATATAAGACCAGATTAGCTTTTGTAAATAATAATCATCGTTTATAAAGCTTCTACCAAATTGAGTAACAACTCTTTATATCAAATAAAATTAGAATTATAATTTGAAAATTAAGGTTTTAGCAATAATTAAATAATAAATAATACTGTTAACAGAGATAAACGTGGAAACGCGTGCCACGTATGATTACTAGAGTGTTGTCCTAGACGGGCTCTGGTGGCGGATCTCCATTGTCACCTGGGTGGAGAACAACTTGGATTTGTTCCTTGGTCACGTCCAATTGTTCTTTAGGCGATACGTCGACAAAGCCGCCTTCGTCGAGCAGACTTGTTCGTACTGCGCCATTTGCTACTGAACTAACTGTGGACCTCATGGTTACTGTCTGCTGTTGAGTGTCTCTCCACGGTGTTGTAAGTATTTTTATTCTCTGTAAAAATAATTTAGGTTAGTTAGTTTGTGATCACTAATTACTTGGTCAATTTTATTGTTTAAATTAATTTACTTGACAAAATGTTCCAGGGGTTATTATTATTTTGTAAATTGCCATTCCTGGGATCATTGCGACTGAAGAAGAAGCTATTATCCATCCGATTATATTCGCCCATAATGGATAGGTGTATTCATCGTATGTCAAAGGTTCGTAACCCATAAGACCGTAGACGATGATGAACTAAAAATAATTTATTTTGTTTTGTCAATGTGGTTAGGTCAAAAATTAATTTATATAATTAAGAGACTAAATTTTTAACAGGTATATCTTTATCGTAAATTGGGTTTGATATTTTTTCAGCGATAGTCATTTATGATATTTAAATAATTGAGAGAGTAAGGAAAATTTTCCGACGAGCATATTATTTTTTTTAAAGGAATTTTTGTAGTTTAATTTGGTATCATCAGAAAGGTCTTCATAAGAATTAGTGCCTTTTGGTTTAATATATTTTTTAGTAGTCAATTTTTTATTTAAAGTTTTTGGAGGAGTTTTTAATAGTTTGTTGGTTCTATAAATTTGTTCCGTGACATTTGTCCATTAAATAATTAGCAATTGATCCTGTGATAGCACTATTGTTTTTAAAATTTATTTAAAAAGTACCCAGACTATGTATAGTGTCATAAATATCAAAAAATCATCAAGTTTAAATTTTCTCATTTACAATCCTTAATTAATTTTGAGCAGTCACGTATTGACTGCTCTCTAGTAAGACTTTAAAATTTTAATAAATTAATTTTTATATTCATTTAAAAAGATCCTTAAAACCATAATTTAAAAATTAATTTTTTTCGATCAAGTACTTATAATCTAATTTTTCTCCTTAAAAAAATTAAATTTTTAATTAAAAAGCTTTACAAAATTATGTTAAAGTCCCCATAGTGACTAACTAGCTAATTCTAATTATTTAATCAATATAAATTATAGAACTTACAACAATAAAAATAGGAGCGACAAATTTCCAACAAACACGCCAATACAATCCTGGCGCAAATCCAATCATATCTTTAATATCCGCGCAAAATCTATCAGTACCGTAAATCCAACTAACGGCTATTGCTTCAGCGAGCACAGCGAATAACATTGAATAACCAGCTGCATAACGATCCAATAAGTGAAAGAAATAAAATCCTCCCTGGAATTAACCACGTTAATTAACTCACCACCAGAGTAGTTTTACTTGGATTAATTTAATGATTTTACTTGTGAGCACGATGCCAGACCGACTAGGAAATACAAGGTGAATAAACAGGCGACAAATATTTCCCGATGGTTCCCAATTAGAGGAAATTCGTCACTTAGTGCCGTGATTATCGCTTCTGATCCTCCAAACTGGAATGTAAAATAAAATTAACTTCTTATTTATTGCAGATAATTAAAATAATCATCAATTACTTACTGAACTATCCAGACCAAGTGTTAATAACATCATAAAAAAAATCAGGGCCCAAAAAATGGACCCAGGCATTGTTGCAATTGCTGCGGGATAAACAATGAAGACAAGACCAGGCCCTTCAGTGGCGACATCTTTAATGGAACGGCCGCTCGCATGCGCCATGTAACCAAGAACTGAAAAAATTACAAACCCGGCGATGAAAGAAGTCGCGCTGTTGATTAAACTCGTCAGCAAAGCGTCGCTAAAATCAAGTAATATTTATTTTAATTATTTATTTAATTACTTGAGTTAATAATTAATTATTAATTACCTGTAAACATTATTGTGGTACTCGTTGTAACTAGCGTATGCCAAAAGAACTCCAAAACCCGGACCCAGGGAAAAAAATACTTGTGTGGCAGCGTCCACCCAGACCTATAAAAAATATCTCATTTTTTATAACAAAGTATTATATATTTAACGATAAAAATTGACATATAATATTAACGGGGGGATATTTTAATCCGTAAAATTATATGCGAATCACGTTTGCGCACTCGGTCAGCTGTTCGGGGTATTTACGGTGCTTACACAGATTTTCCATTTCACCATTTGTCCCTCACTCTTATATTCTCAGTCATGCACTTTGCACGCTTTTCCAGATTATAACTCGACTTATAAAAAGTTATAACATTACTTATGACTTATAACTTATGGCCTACGTGGATAAATAATAATTTAAAGGACTTTCGTCACCTCGGCATTTGTTATTGCGGTAAAATTCGGGCTGAGGTAATATTTTATTCCTTCACCGCTTCCGGGCAAAGTTACCCCACGTACTAGAAGGATCAGCAGGACTGCGTATGGAAATAGAGCCGTGAACCATACCACCTAAGTTGTTAAATATTTATTATTTTTTATGTTATTTATTTGAAGTTAAAATTGTTACTTACTTTTCCGGATGTCGAGATCCCTTTCCATAGAGAAAAATAACAAATAATGTAGACGATAAACAAACAAAGCGCAATGTCCCACTTTACTATTCCAAGATCGTGTAAGCCAGAACTTTGATGAAGCTCTAAAATTGCTCGGCTGGAATTTTATTATTATTTTATTTTATAATAAAATTTTATGAGTATTAATTTAGCAGATATTTAATAATTTTTAGAGTTTTTTTGACAGATAAATAATCGCAAAAAAAATTGACAAGTAGAAATTGAAAAAAATAAAAAATGCAATTTTTTTGTTAAATAAAATAAAAAAAATTATCAAGTGGCTGCTAACTTTAATATGTCATTAAAATTTGAAACTGAAGTCAGCTGACATGATGATAAATTAAATTTTTTTTTTAACAATTAAATTATAAAAAAATTTTTTAATAATTAAAGTATTGTACCTAATTGTTTTAAAAATATTTTTAATAGTAATTTATTTTTTTTAAGAATAAAAAAAATTGACAGCTGTCAGCTGACTTTAGTATCATAAAATTGAAAGTTAGTAAAAAATTACTTACTTAAAATATTCCTGAGCAGCACTTGTATACTTTGTTGAATTATCAGTTTCATTTCTCCAATTTAAAGTATTATTTGAACCAAGTACGTCAGTTGCATTAACTGCAATATTAATTAAATTATTTTAAATTATGGGCCAGTTTTTCAATCTGAGATAAAATTTTATCTGGGATTAAAAAACTGGCCCTATAAATTTCAGAAGAAAAACCAACTTCAGACTAGTCAAAAGAAGATATGACGCGGACAGCAATAATTATATATAAAATAATTGAAGAAGAAAAATGACTTACGTAACAGAGAAGTCTGGTAATAATCAGTCCAATCGTTAATAACAAATTTATCAGAAGTATTAGTGTTAAATTCACGACAGAGAGGAGTGTTCCAAGAGTTTCCGCAGGTTGTCCAGGGCAACATGTTGGTGAACGAAGCAAAAAAATAACGCAATGCCCAGGCTATTATTACGTTGTAGTAAAAATCAACGTAGAAGGCTATCAAAGCTACAGCATAACCTATTCCTGAAGGTAAATTATTTTATTGAATAAAAAAAGATTAGTAATAAATGAAAATTAAATTAGCAGATATTTAATAATTTTTAAAACTTTTTTTTTTTTAATAAATTAGGACAAAAAAAAATTTTTTTTTAAATTGACATGTAGAAATTTTAAAAAATAAAAAACGCAATTTTTTAAAAGTAATTTTTTTGAACAAATTTGTTTGTTGAAAAAAATTAAAAAATTCTCGAGTGACTGCTAACTTTAATGTTATTAATTTTTGATTATTTTTATTAATTAAAAATTAGAACTAAAAAACTATTTTTAAAAAATTCCAAGGATGATTTTTAAAATTTTCTACATGTGAAATTTTTTAAAAATTATTTTTCAATAAAATAAATTAACAAAATTTTCAAATGTCGGCTAATTTAATTTTCATAATAAATTATGGCAAAAAAAATTGACATGTAAATTAAAAATGCAATTTTTGAGAAGAAATTTTTATTTTAAAAATGAAATTAAAAAATTGTCAAGTGACAGCTAAATTTAATATGTCATATGAATAATAATAAAATTACCCGACATTATTGATTTTTTTATTTTTAGTAATGATTTTTTTTTAAATAAAAAAATTTATAAAAATTAATTTTAATTTCATATGAAAGAGAGACAGAAGATATCTGACCTGTCAGCTGCACAAAATGGCGGAAAAAAAAATAAATAAATACCTTTTAGTAAAGGAACAAGTCGTCCCCAGCATGTAATAGCTCCTTTCCGGTTGAATTGCCCTAGAGCTAGTTCCATATAGAACAAAGGAATCCCTCCGACTACTAACATGATGCAGTAAGGAACTAAAAATGCGCCTAAAAAAAAAGTACTTATTTATTTATATTAATTAATTAATTTATTTATTTATTTAAGGTGGAGCAAAATAATTGTTCCAGACGATTGAACTCGGTCAAGAGGGTAATTGCCGAGAAAAATTCAAGTTAAGAGACCGGAAACGGGATTGAAAGTTTAGGAAACAAAGAAAGAACTGTAAAAAGGTGAGAAGTTTAAAGTGCTCCATTTTGTGTCGATTTTTCTTTGTAAACTTTTTTACTTTTTTATCTATGCCTTGGTAATTTTCTTCACAGCTGACTAGCTTTCAATTTTACTATATTTCCATTACCGGATAATGATCAAATGCGACAAGTGTCATTTATTTAGAGATTTTTCTTTTTTATTTACTAAAATTTGAGGCTAGATTGACGTGATTTTTATTTCTTCACATTAAGTCAAAGGGAAGTTAATAAAAATACAAGCTCAGATCTCCAGGATTTATGATGAGGATAAGGAGAGAGGATTTTTTTTTTATGAAAGTGCATGGTAAGAAGGTCATTTATTGAGCTCTGTCTCTGATCTTATCCCGGATTTAGGATTTTTTTAGCATCAACAGGTTTTGTTGGGAGTTGCTGGATAATAGTCGTAATCATTGTTGGATAAAAAAATTTTTATAGTTTTAGAAAATTCTTAAATATTGACGTTTTTAAAGATATAAGCTCATCCTGATGTTACACTCATCAAGAGCTTTCATTTGAGTACCCACATGCATTTTGATATATTTTTTATATATTACATCAGGATGAGCTTATATCTTTAAAAATGTCAATAGTTGACAAGATACAAGGTCATCTCTTAATTATTGACATTTTTTAAGATATAAACTCATTTCGATGTTACACTCATCGAGACCTTTTATTTAAATATCTACATGCTTTTTTGATATATTTTTCATATATTCATATATATAATATATATGAAAAATTGATGTGGGTACTCAAATGAAAGGTCTCGATGAATATAACATCAAAATGAGCTTATATCTTTAAAAATGTCAATAGTTGACAAGAAACAAGGTCATTTTTTAATTATGTAGAGATATTTTCAAATGCAGCCTAAATACTTATCGCAATAAATCGCCAAATTATTTATAAGCTTTAAAAAACTATAAATCCAATTTTTTAGACAGTTTATATTTACCCATTACTTTTAAAATTTTTTTTTATCAAAAATAAATTCTAAAAATTGTCAAATGTCAGGTAACTATATTTTAATTTAAAAATCACATATAAAATTATACGCATATAAATACAATTAAAAAAAAAGCGATAAATAATGAAAAAAATTTTTTCAGCATGCAGCAGACGTCCATGATCAAAGGTGTCCTGAATAGTTTGAATAATGAAATTAATTGAGGGGAATTCGAGAGTAAATTAGCGACCGATCTTGCCGTGATAATAGCTCGCGTGCTGCAGTATCAGTTTGATAGACTGAAACTAGTATTGGTGTAATATAAGTAGAGTCGCATGAGCAGCAGTATCAGGGTGGTGGATGGATGCCCATCCCAACGACAAGTATAACTTAATTAGCAGCCGCTTTTGAGAAGCTTTCCTGTATCACTCTGTCAACCCAGTGTCAACTTAATCGCATTCCTGGATGCCTTGATATTGCGCGAACTAATAGCATTTATGCCTCTCTCTCTGCTCTTTATAGTGAGCCATACACTTAACAGAGCTCTCCTCTTTTTGTAGCAATCTGTAAAATATGGTGCAGACCCACAGCAACCTCTTCTATGGACATCATTCACACTACAGATATGTTTAATTATTTTTTTATGCGGTCATTTCTTCTCTTCCGCACTTTAAAGCTTTTTATTATAAAATTTATGAAAATTAAGAGGATTATGAGCCGGGCTCTCATCACAAAGCTCTTCTTACATCGCACGACCAACGTTTAATGGTGAGTTGTAATAAGATTACTATAAATTTTAATTTGAGATTACCTTTTCATTTCTTCTTACTCGATACATTTATTTCATTTTATTCTAGCTAAGTTTTAAATTTAATACGACTAGCGAATAAGCTTCCGGGCTTTTTAATAAAGTCAAGCTATATCTCTTCTTATCATATATATATATAAGTATATTGCTTATGGACAGGGAGGACTGCAAATTTGGCGCGAGCTAAATGACAATCAACCGTCTAGTTAAAATCATATTACCCTCGTTTTTCATATTAATATAATATACATCTATACTATTCTTTACTTAAACTATCATTTGCACTATTTTACTCCATTTATTTTAACCTTTTAAGTTTATTAATTTTTTTAATTCTAGGAATTTTTTTAAATATTTTTTTTTTAATAAAAATAACTGAGTTTTTTTAATTTTAAATTAATAAAATTAAAATTTTTTATGTAAGTTAATATTTTTTTTAAAAATTTGAATTAAAAAAAATATCATTTTTTTTTTAATTCTATTTATAATTTTTCATAGCTTCTAAAAATGAATTTTTTAAATAAATTATTTTTACTACAATTTTATTTAAAAAAAAAAAAAATTGTCAGATTTTTAAAACTTTTAATGATAGTACAATATAAATACTTTATTTCTGTTTTTCTCTCTTACTAGCCTAGATGTTGATGCGACTTTAAACAAATAAATAAATAAATTAATTAAATTAAAATTTTTTATGTAAGTTAACATTTTTCTAAAAAATTTTAATTGAAAAAAGTGATTTTTTAAAAAATTGCATTTATAATTTTTTATAGCTTCTAAAAATGATTTTTTTAAATAGAATTTTTTTTATTATAATTCAATTGTTAAGAAAATTCTAAAAAATGTCAGATTTTTAAAACTTTTCTATGAAAAAAAATTAAAACTTTTCATATAAGTTAGTAAAATATAAATAATTTATTTCTGTTTTTAAACAAAATAAATATAACATTTTTTTTTTTTCTTAATTTTTGGAATTTTTTTTTATTAAATTTTATTTTGTTGAAATTAAAATTAAATTAATTAATTATTTATTTATTAAAATAAAATTAAAATTGAAAAAATAATTTTAAAAAATTTTCATTTTTAAAAAACTTTAAAAACTATTCATTCAATTTTTAAAAAATATTATTTAGTTCTAATGAAATATTTAAAAAAAAACTCAAAAAATTAAAAACGTCGGCTAACTTCAGTATTATTATTTTTTTTTAAAATTGCATCAATAATTTTTTATAAGCTTCTAAAAATCGAATTTTTTAAATAAATTTTTCTTGTTATAATTTAATTTCTAAAAAAAGTTCTAAAAATTATCATATTTTTGAAATTTTCCAATTATAAAAAAAAGTAAACTTTTTGTATAAGTTATTAAAGTCTAAATAATTTGTCTAAAAAATTTTTTACAACCAAAAAAATTAATTTTTAATAAATAATAATTTTTTTGATTTCAAAATTTGAACGACACTTATAATAATAATATTAGACACTGAAAATTTATTTTAATTTTTCTTTAAAAATAAACTAAGTCTAGAAAATAATTTTTTATAGCTTCTAAAAGCTATGAAATTTCTTAAATAAATTTTTTAGCTATAATTTATTAAATAAAATAAATAATCAAATGTTTAAATTTAAGTCTAATAAATAAAAATACATTTTTTTAATATTATAAATATAATAAAAAATATTTAAATAAACTTACCACCACCATTTTTGTAGCATAAATACGGAAATCTCCAAACATTGGCAAGATCAACAGCAAACCCAATAACCGAAAGAAGAAAATCAACTTTTCCGGACCAAGTTTCCCTGCCGTCGACCAAAACTTTGCCGTTGTCGGTCGGGGTAGTCGGTTTTGAAACTTTGGAAGTCATTTTTCTGAAAAAATATTCACAGAACTTCACAGAAGAATAAAAAGAAAAATCTAAAATATATAATAAATTGGCTCCGGATAAAAATGAAATGATTAAACTAGCGAAACGAATTTCATATGTTGTTCGAGAGGAATGAATAGCCAATGGGTATAATTCGGACGACAAGTTATCGATAGCCCTTCAGCACATATCAACCCTCTAGAGCAATACAACAAGCTCATTGTGCTTGCAATGACGGGTCTATCCGGGCAGTACACACCACCGTACCCATCAGTTGTGTGTATTTCAAACCCGATTCTGGAGAGTCCTCCCACGAGAGCTTTTCTGTCACACGCATCATTCTCAACTCTATATTATAACACCTCTTCACCTCTTTTATTTATTATTTCTCACAATTCAACTATTTAAATAATTATTTTAATAAAACAATACTCACCGATCAATATTCTTCAGAAATTGCACATTTGTAATCGAGATCGCAACAATAACAATTATTTAAATTGTTGTAATTGACTTTAAGCCAAATTATTTTTACTATTTTACTCTTTAAACCCATTACTTAGTTAATTTTTATTTTTTTTTTAATTTATTTGCTAATTTTTATCATTAATATTCACTTTTTAAGTATTTAAAACAACCAATATTCACAGGTTGTGTTTTTTGGCCCCTAAAATTTCCCTAAAATTCGGGGATTCCCATTAAAAAAAAACCCGCGAAATTTAAAAAAATTCAAAAATCATTTTAATTTTAAATCATTTTTTAATTTTTTTTTTTTAAATTCAAGTTCACCTGTCAACGTCAACCGACCAAATGACAACTTTCCCGGAAAATTGAAGACTATATACGCGGTTGTCACGTGACCGCTCCATTTCATCCAACCAAATCGCCGCTTGAGGTAATCTAAAAATTAAAACATTATTTTTAATGCCACGTGCTATTTTTTTAAAATAAAAAATTCTAACTAAAAAAAAAAAATAAATAAAAAAAAATTACACATTTTAATTTTTCAGATTTAAAAATTTAAAATTCAAATTTGCGAAAGTTCCCGCGAATATATGGTGGCTCCCAATTGGCTGTAGGTTCTCCAATCACCAGGATTCCCCTCCTGGTGGTCATTACCCGACCGTGAACGTAAATACTCAATGTATGACCAGCGAAGCTAAATATTAAAGCACTTAGTTATCAGAATCAGTAATTAACAATCACAAGCCAGGTAATTTTTTACATCTGTTATTTTGATAATTATGTTTGTTCAATTTTGTTCATTTTTATCATTGTTAATGTTAAGCCAAGTTGTTTACTTGGCACTTGACATATGGAGAATCTTAGCTGTCAAAACTAGTAATTATTTTTTTGACAGATTTTTATGACATTTTTAGTTGGCTTTTTTTATTTAAACTTTAAAGTTTTAAAAATAATTTTAGATATTTTTTTTTTTGCAGATTATTTTGCGGGTGACGATGGCCGACGAATCATTTGATGTCTGTGAATGCATTTGGAACCACAATGCTATGCAGCGATTACTATCATTGGTAAAGCATAATGCATGTTGTTACTCAATAGTTGATTAATAAGTATCTTTTTAATTGTTTATGTTTTGGATTATGCAACACTTTGTTTTTAATTATTTAAATTCGCTGAATTTTAAGTTTTGCATAATATTAAAAATATAGAAATATTTGTGAGAATTTTAATTTATTTTGTAAATATTTTATTATTTTAGTGACAATATATTATAGCAAAAAAAATTGACATTAAAATTGGCTATCACTTAATTTTTTTTTTTTATTTCTAAATGTCAATTTTTTTTTTTCATAATTTTTTTATTAAAAAAATTATTAATTATTTTTTAAATCATCTAAAAATGACAAAAATTAAAAATTAATTTTTTTTTAACAAATTTGTTAGTTTAAAAAATTATTAATTGTCTGTTAAATTAATTTTTATAAAAAAAAAAATGACTCAAAAATAAAAAGTGCAATTTTTTTTAAATAATTTTTTTTTTAACAAATTTGTTAAAAAAATTATTAATTATCTACTAAGTTAATTTTTTAAAAATGACAAAAATTAAAAATGCAATTTTTTAAAAATTATTTTTGTTAATAAATTTATTTGTTAAAAAACATTAAAAAATTTTCTATTGGTAATTTTAATGACATTTTTAATTAAAATAAATTTAGAAGATTTCTAAAAATTTTAATGACAAAAAAATAAAAAAATGAACATGTAAAATTTTTAAAAAATTAAAAATGTAATTTTTTTTTAACAAAGTTAAAAAAAATAGTCAAGCATATGTGTGGATAGCAACTAATAATTAACTTTTAATGGATGCGTTAGTTTTATGTCTGATAATAAATTTTTACTGTTGCAGCTGAGGCAATCGCAAGCAGCCTGTACTGATAACGAGTGCTTCAACTTGACAAATCGTATGTAATTATCATTGTTTATTTTACAATATTTTTTTTACTAAAATTTTAATTTTTTTCTAAAGTTCCCGGGCCAGAAGGCGGACAGCAGAACTCTGATTTCCTGTTCATCGGGATCGCATTTGTCGCGATGACGCTGATGTACTTGTTCAGACCTAATTCGCTTCGTCAGAGCTACGCGGATAATGTCAAGCCAAGGAACTCAACTGTAAGTTTTATTTATTTATTTTTCATGAAAATTCATTGAACAGATATTTGATAATTTTTTTAACAAATAAATTATGGCTTAAGAATAGGGGTGTGCAAATATCGTTCGAATCGAATATTGATATTCGATTCGAAATTCGAACCGGATAATTCGAAAGAATTCGAATTATTCGTAATTTTTGGAATAATTCGAATTTTTTCGAATTGTTCGTCGAATTTCAAATAATTCGAAAATTCAAATTATTCAATTCGGAACGAATAATTTGTAAGTTCGAATTATTCGCACCCCCTTAATTTTAAACCCTAATCTACTTAACTCTTGATAAGTCTTGATAGCAATAGCCACGCGGACATGTAAAAATGAAAACTCTAAATTTAGAGTATCGTTCGAATATCGTTCCAATCGAGTATTGATATTCGAATCGAATTATTCGTAATTTTTCGAATTATTCGTCGAATTTCGAATAATTTGAAAATTCAAATTATTCAATTCGAATTTTGAATCGAATATTAATATTCGATTTGAAACGAATAATTCGTAAGTTCAAATTATTCGCACACCCCTACTTAAGAAATTATAAAAAAAAATTTTTTTAATTAAAAATTATATCTTTTTTTAAATAATTTGTTTAAAAAAAAATTTTAAATGTGAAAATTATAAAAATATTATTAGAAACATTTTTTTAGTGTAATTGATTTATTAAAAAAATTAAAAATAATCAACTAGTAAATTTTATAAATAGAAAATAAATGCTAGAAAATTTTTAAAGTTTATTTTATTAGTTTTAAATTAATTACGGATATATAAAAATTATTTTTAATTTTTATTAGTTTAAATTTATTGTTAAAAAAAATTTTTAATTATTAATTAATTAAAAAATTATTTAAAAACATTAAATAATTTTATTTAAAGGGTCCAAATGATGATCCACCAGCACCACCACCAATAAATTAATTAAAAAAATGAATCTTCAATAATTACGGGCTTTCAATAAATAAAATTATAAATAATTAAATTATTATCAAAGAAAAAAAAAAAAAGAAAATTTATTTAAAATTAATTTATAAAATTGTGATGTATTATTTAAATATCGAAATTTTGTCAAAGCACAATTTTTAAAAATTTATTACGGTTAATTATTATATTATATTGATATTAAATAATTCTAAGCCAGGGAAATATAAATATATATTTTTTAATCATAAAATATATATTGGAATAATGTGAATACTAATTGTAAATTAAGAAAAAAGATCTAACTCTAATATAACGAGTGGAATTGTAAAAAAAAATGTGTGGAAAAAAAAATTATATGACTAATACATTCCAGGGTTTGAATAAACAAAATAATTATTAATTCAATTAACTGTTGAATTATTTTTTTCATAATATTTTATTTTATTAAGAAATATAATTTCGTAACCGCATTTCAAAGAATTTATGTACAAAAAACATTTACTGTAACGCGTCTAAATTGAACAATTATTTTATAAAATTGCGTTATTAAAACCATAAGTGTAAAAAAATTTTTTTGCTCCAATCAATGTAAAAATGTTGAAAACATTAACATCTATGAAAAAAATTTCATGATTATACTCAGTATAATCTTGGATTTAATTTTTTAAAAAAAAAAAAAAAAAAAAAAAAAAAAAAAAATGAAATTGCTTATTATTATTTTTTTTTTAACTAATCCTAGATTCTGTAGTGGAATTAGTACCAATTAACGGTGAAGATTCTGAACATCCATTACCTCCAGGATGTGAAGAGCTACCAGCGACTCCAAAAGTATTAATTCATTTAACCAAAACCTGAAATCTAATTTAAAAAATTATAAATAATTAAATAATAAATTTCAGCTTGATCTGTCATGTGATTCACCGTCGTTAGCTGACTTGGAAAGAAGAAAGAAACTGTTGCTCCAGGAGTTGAACGACTCCCCGATGTCTAGCCCGGGGACACCCAAGAGCTCCCTGAATAACTCGACGGTCGAAACTCCAAAATCTGCAGCCAAGTGTCTGAACATTTCACCGGAAACTCCCACGCAGAGTTCTAACGAAACTACGCCTAAAGTTGGCGCGGTTAAAAGTGTCGAGCTGGGGACGCCCCTGCTGAAGAGCACTTCCAAGTTCACCAGGTTACCTTCCAGCGGGAATTTCTCCAAAGACATTTGTGATGTTATTAATTTTGAAAATTTACCTGGCGCTACTGGCAAGTACGAAAAAATGAGTGGTATTATTCAAAAAATACGGACGACTCTCTCGAATCAAGATTTATCTTGAATGTCACTCTGTTTTTATAAGCGTAATTATTTCGTGTTACTAAAACCATAAGTGTGTATAAAAAAAATTATTTTTGCTCTAATCAATGTAAAAATGTTGAAAACATTAACATCTATGAAAAAAATTTCATGATTATACTCAGTATAATCTTGGATTATACTCAGTATAATTCAAGATTACACTGAGTATAATCTTGAATTTTTTTTTCGTATTTGTTCATAGATGTTAATGTTTTCAACATTTTTACATTGATTAGAGCAAAAATAATTTTTTTTATACACACTTATGGTTTTAGTAACACGAAATAATTACGCTTATAAAAACAGAGTGACATTCAAGATAAATCTTGATTCGAGAGAGTCGTCCGTATTTTTTGAATAATACCACTCATTTTTTCGTACTTGCCAGTAGCGCCAGGTAAATTTTCAAAATTAATAACATCACAAATGTCTTTGGAGAAATTCCCGCTGGAAGGTAACCTGGTGAACTTGGAAGTGCTCTTCAGCAGGGGCGTCCCCAGCTCGACACTTTTAACCGCGCCAACTTTAGGCGTAGTTTCGTTAGAACTCTGCGTGGGAGTTTCCGGTGAAATGTTCAGACACTTGGCTGCAGATTTTGGAGTTTCGACCGTCGAGTTATTCAGGGAGCTCTTGGGTGTCCCCGGGCTAGACATCGGGGAGTCGTTCAACTCCTGGAGCAACAGTTTCTTTCTTCTTTCCAAGTCAGCTAACGACGGTGAATCACATGACAGATCAAGCTGAAATTTATTATTTAATTATTTATAATTTTTTAAATTAGATTTCAGGTTTTGGTTAAATGAATTAATACTTTTGGAGTCGCTGGTAGCTCTTCACATCCTGGAGGTAATGGATGTTCAGAATCTTCACCGTTAATTGGTACTAATTCCACTACAGAATCTAGGATTAGTTAAAAAAAAAATAATAATAAGCAATTTCATTTTTTTTTTTTTTTTTTTTATTAAAAATTAATCATTTTTTTAATTTTTAATTGAAAATTTTATTAAAGTTTTTAAAATTTTTATTAGGTTTTTTATAAAACCTAATAAAAAGTATAATTACCCTCAGAGGGCTCGCAGTCCATCTCTATAAGCTCGACATCAGCATCCGGACTGGGCTGGCTGGTGGTGGTGGTGGTGGTCTCTAGTTTTTTTTTCTTGTAGCCCTGTTCAGCCTTGCGGTGCGCCAACATCATCAGCATGGCCTCCTTACTGTGCATTGCCTGCATCTCCGGGTTCCAGTATGCCTGTTCCAGATCATATCAACGACGTACAGTAATAAAACTCCAAGCTCCGTGGTACGTATCACCACCACTAAATAAATAAATAATTCCGACGTCGATTCAACGTCGATAATCATTAATACTCATGATCTTACATCTCTTACACCTGGCGCCGGCGGTACATTGTATCCCGGGTAGTCGTGAATTTTTTTAATATCAAACTTGATATTGTCCTCGGGAGAAAATATTTCTCCGACTTCCTCCGCTGGGTCTAGGACTCGCCTGCCGTCCGAGTTGTACAAGTTTAACCCCGAGTGCTCCTGTTTAGCTTCTTCTAACCACCCTGGTGGGTATCCTAGTGTTCTCATCCTTTAAATTTATATTATAATTAATTAATATAATTAGTAATAAATAAATAAATAAAATAATAAAAATTATGTACTTGAAGATATGTTTTGGTAATTCATTATGACTGAGACCAAGTGCTTTTCTTAGCTCATTGCTCAGTACACCAGGTACAAATTTAACCTCATCAACGTGGTAACGTGAGTTCTTGCTGTTTGATCGAGAAGAAAATTCTTTGCGGTTCTTGTTTATTTCATTGAAATTACGCGGCTTGGGACAGTCACGGAGATTATGATTCTCCAGGCAGTTGAAGCAGGTTAATTTTGGTCCTATTGATTCTTTTTCTTCGTCAGAGTTTCCTGATGATTCTTTTAGTACTCGGTCGAATTTCTATAATTTTTTGATCAATAAATAAATTCTTGATAAATAATTAATTTTTAACAATACAAAATTATTTTTTTATAAATAAATTATAGCAAAAAAAATTATTTAAAAAATTAGTATTTAAGAGCTTTAAATATTCAATTAATTAATTAATTATTTAAAAGCTCTAAAAAATTCTAAATTTTTTTTTTAATAATTTTCTGGACCTACTTTATTTAAAAAAAAAAAAAAATTAAAAATTGTGTCTGCTTATTTTAGTATCATGAATAAAAATACCTTTCCATAAGTCGGGACTTTACAGAAATCTTCCCTGCTAGGTTTGCTGTCAATTGTAAATAGACTACTCAAATCTTTGCGTTCTGTTTTTTCAGAATTTTTATCCCAGATTGCTAGAACCAAGTCTGAGGAGTCATCTTCTGGCAAATCAACCCTTACTAGTCTCTGCAAATATTCCTTCACTCTTCTCCGGTATTCTCTAAAGAAAAAAAAAAATTCCAATAAAATTAATAAGTATTTTTAATATCTAAATAATAAAAATTATGATATTGAATTTAACACCTAAAAATTGTTATAACATTTAAATTACAATGAAAAAAATTTTACAAGTAGAAATTAAAAAGAAATTATACAAATAATTTTTTTTTTACAATAATTGAAGTCTTAGAAAAATTACTTGACCATTTTTCAATTTTTTTAACAAATAAATTCATTCGAAAAAATTATTTTTAAAAAATTGCATTTTTAATTTATTATTAAAATTTTTACATTTTAATTTTTTAACTTAATTTGTTTGTTTAAAAAAATTATAAAATATCTGCTAAATTAATTTAAATAATTAAAAACCCCAACTTTATTATTAAAAATTAAAAAAAAATTGTTAAATGTCTATTTATTAATTTCAATAAAATAAAAAACTTACCTGGCAACATTTTTGTCCCTAAAGATAACCTTAATAACAGGTTCATCATCCTCGTTTTTTTCCTCGAGGTCATCGACAGCTTCATCAATCACAATGAACCCTTCCGGAGCAGCACCAGGAGGCAGAGTTTTTCCTTCACTGGATTTATCATCCAGGTCGTTGTGGTCAGTAACATCAGCATCGTTTTCGCACACTGATAAGTCCTGACTTGTGTCCAAGCACACTACTGAGTCGTCGGCTTCTTGAGAGTCTCCGTTGCAACTCATGATAAATTATCCAAAAAAAAAAAACAAACAAATAACTCACCAGGTTCCAAATTCCAACAATGTTAATTAATAATTAATTATTTATTATTTTATTGTTTGTATTTGTATTTTTATATTTTTATTTATTTGTAATGCGTTGTTTTCAGTTACTCGGAAGCGACATCTGGTGACAGCTGCTGAACTTTATTTTATAATTACAAAATGGCCGCGTTAGCAGCGCCCTCCAGTCCTCCTGTCAGTCTGCACAAGTTTAATCACTAAAAACTAATATTTATAACCTGCTGATGCGTCTTTTGATAATTAAGTTTAAGTTTAGGAAAATTATTTATTTATTTATTTAACAGCTGCTCGCTATAGTTAGAGCGGCAGAGTTATTGTTTTTTAAATTGTATTTATATTAATAAATAAAGTGTATCATGATGTCGCGGTCTGTGCGAGCCGAAACTCGAAGTCGTGCTAAAGATGACATTAAACGAGTTATGCAAGTTGTGGATAAAGTTCGTCACTGGTAAATTATTTTATTTACTTTTTTATTTGGAGTTTTTAATTTAGGTACTTATATTTTTTTTTTATTTTTTTTCAGGGAAAAAAAATGGGTGACGATAGGAGAGACTACCATGAAAATTTACAAATGGGTACCGATATCAACGCTTGAGTTGGTTAGAATTTTATTTTTATTTTTAGTATTAATTAGAAATTAAGATTTTTAAAATATGAAAATATATTTCAGAAATTTTATTTGTAAAAAATTTTAAAAAGTGTTTGAAGGTTTTTAAAAAATAATTTTTTGCTCCAATTTAATTATTATGTCAGTAGACGTTAAAAATTTTTTTGAGTTAATTTATATCATTAAGAAACAAGAAAAATTTTGTATAGGATATTCATATTATTATGATAAGTATTTAGGCTCCATTTGAAAATATATCTAGATACATATTTAAGAAATTACTTTGTATCTTGTAAAATATTGAAGTTTTTAAAGATATAAGCTCATTCTGATGTTATATTCATCGAGACCTTTCATTTGAGAAACCCACATCAATTTTTCATATTTTAAATATTTTATATATTTATATATTTCACAAATACAATATATATAAAATATATGAAAAATGTCATGTGGGTACTCAAATGCACAAGGTCTCGATGAGTGTAACATCGGGATTAGCTTATATTTTTAAAAATATCAATAATTAAGAAATGATCTTGTATTTTGTGAATTATTGACATTTTTAAAGATATAAGCTCGCCCCTACATTACATTCATCGAGACCTTTCATTTGAGTACCCACATCAATTTTTCATATATTTTATATATACAGTGAAATCTAGATAAGTGGGACCTGGATAAGTGAGAAACCTCTGTAAGCGAGACTTTTTTTCAGGTCCCGGTACCTCTGCACTAAAAAACCTCTTTTAGTGATATTGATGAACCTCTATAAGTGAGACATTTTTTCAGGACTTACTAGTTCTTTTCTCTCGTATTTGAAGCTATTTATCCCATTGTATTGGCAACATTCTTTTAGTATACGTTTTTTATAGAAAAGAAGTCGTTCATCATATTGTGACATTTATAGAAGACAATGTAAGCGCTGGAATAAATATTTTACAAGCTATGAGATTTGCTAGAAAAGTTTGGTTTTCTGTCAGTAAGACTACAATCGCAAATTGTTTTAGAAAATCAGGTTTCAAGTTACATGCGTTTGATTCACAAGGTAATGATAAAGAAAAAGAAACAACTACAATTAATGACGATGTTTGGGCTCAAGTAATAAATGATGACAACCAGCAACTGCAATTCAACGAATATGTCAATATTGATGAGGATGTAATGACTTAAGGGGAATTGACCGATAATGATATCGTTTCTGCTGCAATCTCATGTATAGAAACAGAAGAGGAAGAAGAAGCACCAGTTGAGAAAGTATAAAAATCTGACGCGGAAAAAGCATTGTGGACATTGCATAAATATTTCGAATTTTCCAATATTAATGATAGAACTATTTTTGACAAATTATTTGCCATTGAAAAATTATTGACTGCTGATTGTAACTTAAAGCAAACTAAAATGACCGAATTTTATAAGTGAATTACTGTATTTCATATTGTATTATTTCATATTCTATTATACAGTATAGTAATGTATATTCTCTATTTTTATTTATTATTCTCTGACCTTGTCTATCTAAGTTTCCCTCTCTGTATGAGAAACTCGAGTAAGTGAGAAAAAAATCTTAGTCCCTTCAAGTCTCACTTATACAGGTTTCACTGTATTATATATATATATATATATGTATATATGAAAAATATATTAAAAATGCATGTAGGTACTCAAATGAAAGCTCTTGATGAGTGTAACACCGAGATGAGCTTATATCTTCAAAAACGTCAATATTTAAGAAAGTACAGTGTAATTTAACAAAAGTCATTATTTAATAAATCAAAATTTTATTTATTTATAGTTCCCAAGTCGGAAGTCACGCAGTGACTGCAAGTTTGCTAGTTAGAATTAAAAAAATTACACTTATAATTTTTTTAATTTTCTTCATGTAAAATTTTCATTTTTTTTTAATTAAAAGTCTTAAAAATTTTAATTCAAAAAATTTCTTATTTATTTAGAATGTTTGAAATTTTTATTTAAAATTTTACAATTCAAATTCATTTGCTAAATTTTCTTTTTTAGTACAATTTAATAGTAAAATATTTTTAATTATTAAAAAATTAGCTACTTTTAATTTAATAATAATAATAATAATTTATAAAAAAAAAAATTATTTATTTTTTTTAGAAAAAAAAAGCAAAGTCTCTAGCTGATAAAGAAAATGGTTTGCCAAGAAAAAGCGGGATCGACTCATCAAACAACTCGAATTTCGGGCTCACCGAGGATTCAAACACATGTAAAATTTTAACAATATTATTATAATTAGTATTTTATTTTATTTATTATTATTTTACAAGTATAATTATTAAATAGGCTTTTCGACTGTAAGTGATTCACAAGGAATGACAGATTTTTCAACACATCTAGGGTTCTCAGAAGATTCAAACTCGCAAAACAGCGAGCCAGCTCCAAAAGTACTCAAGACTGATTGATTACTCTAGCACACACATGATAATTAATATTCACCAGAAGGATAAATTAATCATCCAATGATGCATCAGCATTATCATTGTTATCATTTCCACAATCATTATTTCATTTATATAAAAATTTTTTTATAATAAATATTATTTTAATTTAATATTGTACACCTAAGATTTATTAATTAATTTAAACCTCACGAGTACACTATTTTAAAGCTCTAATTAGAGTTTTATGTAAATATTAATGTCGACAAATTTTAATTATAATGTATAAAAAAAATAAAAAAACTAGCTCTTATATTCGAAATAAATTTCAAGTAATAGAAAATTTATTATTTAAATTTGTTTATTTATTTAAATCAGAAAAATACAAAAAATTTTAATTTCACCTCAATAATTTAATAATTTACCTGAAAAAAATTTATTTTATTTTAATTATTAAAAATATTTGAATAATTATAGGAGCAAATAAAACTTACCAGGGTAAAATAGTCCCATCGTGTCTGAGAAAAGCTCCATTGTCTTTCTCAGAAAGTCCCATGACAGTCTGGACCATATTATGGACACTGGAGTCAATGTCCATTGGAGCACTGGAGCCTCCCATGTCCGTCTTGACCCAGCCAGGGTGCATGCAAGCTACCAGGATCCCGTCTTCCTTCAGGTCGACGCTCATCGACTTGGTTGCGGCGTTCAGAGCAGCTTTGCTGCATCTGTAAGGGTAAGATCCACCTGACCCGTTGTCTGCAATACTGCCCATCAGAGATGTCATGTTGATGACAGCTGCGCGGTCTACACTCATGCCTTGTTTTCCTGCTGCTGCTTTTCTTAGCAGTGGTAAGAATGCCTTCAATAAAAAAATATGTTTAAAGTTAATAATTAATTTTTTTTTATATTATTAAAATTAATTTAGCAAACTTTTAATAATTTTTTTTGTATCAAATAAATTGATTTAGAAATTAAAAAAAAAATTAAAAATGTAATTTTTTTTTTTTAATTATTTAGAAGAAATTTTTTTTGTTAAAAAAAATTAAAAAATGATCAAGTGACAGCTAAATTTAATTTTATTTAATAAAAAAATATTTTTTTTTTAAATAAAATTGAATGTTAATTATCCAGCAATTAAAAATATAAATAAATACCTTGGTAAGCATTATAGGCACTACAGTATTAACTAAATAATTTTCTGTCAAATCTTCAGCTTTAACGCTGTCAAGTTTAGACGAAGGTAATAAAATAGCAGCGTTGTTAAACAGAACATTGAGACCAGCATCTCCAACTTGCGCGCTTACTTCATTTACAATCCGGTCGTAGTCTTTGAAGTTTGTTAAATCTAAAAATATAAAAATAATAAATATTACATGTACCTAGACTGAAACAAAAATCGATGATTTAATAACATGCATTATAAGTTATAAAAATGACCTTGATAAATATTTTATCAACCACTGCTAATGTACAATCAATATAATTATCGCGGAATAAAGTTTTAACTCTACATTGACATCATTTATTAGTTTATTAAAAGTCAACAGTTATCATTGTTGATAATAATTATGATTACCTGCTTTTATGATACAGACGTTGCTTGATTTTTCAGCTATTTCTTTTAATTTCTATAAAAAAAAAAAAATTATTTATTAGTATGAAGTTTTTTAAATATTTAAATTGTATTAATGAAACTGTTGTAAAAAGTGAATCTATTAATGAAAATAATTTTATTGGTAAGTTTATTAATTTCATTAAAAAAAAAATCAATAATAACAATAATGATAATAATTAATTTTCGACTTGAATTATAATTATTATTATTAGTTACATTAGAAAAATAATAATAATAATAATTGTAATTGTTTACCTGAGCTTTGTTGATATCCCGACAAGTAGCAAAAATTTTTTCCGGTGGATTTGGTAATTGCGTTAAATGTTGAACTAATCCTAAACCTAATCCTCGATTACAACCAGTTATTAAAATCGAACGCATTTTTATCTAAAAAATAAATAATAGGTAATAAATAATTTACACAATTTATTTTTTTACAATTATAATTTACTAACCTAGCTACAATACGTTTAGTTGTTGAGCGGCGTATCGCTGCGACGTGAATATACCATGAACGTGAATCATGAAATTTATTTTATTTTACGCATCTTTTCTACCAACTGCACAGCAGTTCTGCGCGCTATCTTAATCTAATTGCTTCGATTATCACTTACGTAACTATTCTTAATAACAAAATAATTTTTTTATGTGGAACATCATTGAAATAAAAAAGGTTATTTATTGAAACCTTTTTATTAGTAATTTTACATAAAAATAATATAAAATTTTTATAGTATTTGTTGGTTAATATTCAATAATAAATTATATTGAAATCTTTTGATTTTAAATATCATACGGGTGTGCGAATATCGTTCGAATCGAATCGAATCGAATATTGATATTCGAACCGGATAATTTGAATTTTCGAATTAATCAACATTCGACGAATAATTCGAAAGAATTCGAATAATTCGTAATTTTTCGAATAATTCGAATTTTTTCGAATTAATTGAATTTTTTCGAATTGTTCGTCGAATTTCAAATAATTCGAAAATTCAAATTATTCAATTCGAAACGAATAATTTGTAAGTTCGAATTATTTGCACCCCCTTAATTTTAAACCCTAATCTACTTAACTCTTGATAAGTCTGGATAGCAATAGCCACGCGGACATGAAAAAATGAAAACTCTAAATTTTTTCCAAGTTACTAATCTAATCAACTGTTTGGCCTAGAATCCTTGTAGAGAATGCGAAAACGATTCGATTGATGCATAATAATGATTAAAACTGAACTTATCGAGAATTTTAAACCTTCCTCTAGTTAACTTTTGATAACTTTTAATAACAACACCCACGCGGACATGTAAAAATGAAAACTCTAAATTTCTGTTTGGCCTAGAATCCTTGTAGAGAATGCGAAAACGATTCGATCGATGCATAATAATGATTAAAAATGAACTTATCAAAAATTTTAAACCCTACTCTAGTTAACTCTAGTTAACTCTTGATAACTCTTGATAACAATAGCCACGCGGACATCTAAAAATGAA